CTATTTGTGCTTAGTTTCTTTATAATCATTGTTTGATATCCTTGGTCTCTGAACACCCTCACCTCACTGATGAAGGAGCAGCGCTCCAAAAGCTTGTGACTGCAAATAAACCTATTGGAATATTACCTGGTATCATGTGACTTCTAACTTTGTCCACCTTAGTCAAACACCGGCATCTCAACATTGCTATAACTTTTATAACTTTCATAGGAGCATAATATCCATCAACGTTCCACCTCTCTTCCGCCTAGTAGAGGTATAGAAGATCACAGAATCCCTACAGTGGGGAAAGAGGCCATTTGGCCTATCAAATCTGCAACCACCCTCCGAACAGCATCCCACCCAGACTCCTACCCTATCCCCATAACCCAGCATTTACCTGCTTAATCCACCTGACCTGCACATCCCTGGACACTATGGGGAAATTTAGCATGGCCAATTCACCTAAGCTGCATGTCTTTGGACTGTGGGAGGAAACCAAAGCACCCGGCAGGAACCCATGCAGACAGAGGGAGAATGTGCAAACTCCACACAGACATTCACCGAAGGCTGAAACTGAACTCGGGTCTCTCGTGCTGTGTGGCAGCGGTGCTAACCACTAAGCCACTGTGCTGCCCAAAGATGATAAAGGGACTGAAAAAAAAATACATGTAGAAAGGATGTTTCTTCATATGGGATAATCTAGAATAAGAGATAATAGTTTTAGGAGAAGGGATAGTAGATTTAAAACAGCAATAAATAGAAATTATTTCTCCCAAAGGGTAGTGAATCTGTGGAATCCACTAGCCCAGAGTACGATGATGCTGGGACGTTGAGTAAATTTAAGGAGGAGATAAGCAGGTTTTTAATTAATAATTGGTTGAAAGGTTACAGAGAGCGTGCAAGGAAATAGAATTGAGGCCAAGATGAGATCAGTCATATCAAATGGCAGAGCAGGCTCAAAAGACTCCTGGTTCTGAGTTTTGAAGAAGTATCAAATTGGACTTAAATCAGTAATTGTTTATCTTTCCATAGATACTGTCAGACCAATTCAGTTTCTCCAGCACTTCGTTATTATTTTACTTTTAGCTTTTTATCATTAATTATTTACCAAGTCAAACTTCAGTGGAGTTCAACCTGCTTTGCAGCTGCTACTATTGACACTACCGTTCCTTTACAGACAACAATTGCAAGAGAAAATCAGTGTTCAAAGATATCAATTTGTGCCCTTTCCATGTAAGTTATCAATGAAACTTTAAACAGATTTCATCGAAGGAATAATAACTAAGTGCTGGTGGGACTAGCAAGTTTATTTTCAGTTATAGGAAATACTTTTGGCAATTTTGCAATTTATTTAGGGCCAGGAACTATCAGCTCAATTAACTGTCCTGCTTGTACAATGAATAAATTGCATGAAACTAACACACTGACTATAATCATACAGTCCCCACAATGGAGAAACAGGCCATTCGGCCTATTAAGTCCACAGTGACCCTCCGAACAGCATCCGAACCAGACCCACTCCCCCCACCCTATTGCTGTAACCTTGCATTTCCCAAGGCCAATCCACCTAACCTGCACATCTGAGGACTACGGGAGGAAACAGGAGCACCCGGAGGAAACCTACTCAGACGCTTGGAGAACGTGCAAACTCCACACAGAATGTTGCCCAAGGGTGGAATTGAATCCCGGTCCCTGGCGCTGACAGACAGCAGTGCTAACCACTGAGTGCCCATAAATGGTGAAAATTGCAATGATTCACTTACAAGCGTAAGTAAAAGCCCCAACACTGCAGTACGCATTTTGTAGTTCCACTTGCAAAGTGCTGTAAAGGCATGGCAAAAAACATTGGAGGTGGTAATCTTGACAAATGGCCACAATTAATCCCTCTTGGGTAGGGAAATACTCACCTGCTACATCTGTAGCCACAAGAACAGGAATTGACTTCTTTTTGAAGTCGGATATGACTTTGTTTCTTTCGCTCTGATCCATATCACCATGTAACAGCCCAACAGTGTATCCTTCCTGGTTTAAATTGGCAGCAAGCTCTTCGCTGTTAGCTTTCTTGGTCACAAAAATCAGAACACTGCCTCTAGATGTCAACTCTACCAGCCGCCTCATGAGCCAGTCCCACTTGTCAGGGCCAGCTGCAAGAATCTCCACGATCTGAGTAATGTCCTCGTTGGCCTAAATCAGAACAAATATAAGTTTGGTGAGATACAAGCACAAATAGCCATGTGGGAATAGGCTGTAGTGCCAATTACAGTTTAACACCTGAGGTTAAAGGTTCATCCGACAGATCCCAGATGTATGCTTTTCTGGTCAGTTGCATTTCAATTTACACATTACAAAACTCTAACACACCTATTACTTGTTCCTTATATAGGATCCCTACAGTGCGGAAACAGGCCATTCAGCCCAACAAGTCCACACCGTCCCTCCGAAGAACATCCCACCCAGACCCATTCCCCTAATTTCCCATGTCAAACCCACCTAATCTAAACATCCCTAAGCACTACGGGCAATTTAGGCATGGCCAATCCACCTACCCTGCACATTTTTGGACTATGGGATGAAACCGGAGCACCCGGAGGAAACCTACGCAGACAAGGGGAGAACGTGCAAACTCCACACAGACAGTCGCCCAAGGCTGGAATTGAACCTGGGTCCCTGGGGCTGTAAGGCAGCAGTGCTAACCACTGTGCCACCTATCAAATGTGTGTATGTATGCATACACAAACACACACACATACAATCAGTTCTCACCTAATCGTTGCTTAATTAGCACATAACCTTCAGCCCTGCCCAGATGTTCCTAGAATGACAATAGGTGGCAGTATAGGTTAGAAAAGAAAGGATGAACAAATCTACAGAAAAATCACAGAGTTGAGTAAGAACTACAGCACAGTGATGATAATTAGGGTACATAAGTTACCCAATATCAACTGGAATAAAATTAGAATAAAATGTAAGGACTGGGAGGGATTTCTGAAATGTGTTCGGGGAACTTACTTAAGGACATAAAATCATTTAAAGAAAAAAATCAGAGGAGTAAGAGTAGGCCATTCAGCCTCTGAAGCTTGTTCGGCCATTTAACACAATCATGGCTGATCTGAACGTGGTTTTAATTCCACTTACCAACCGCATTCATAACTTCAACTCCCCTATAGATCAAAAATCTGACTATATTCAAGGCCGAGTTAGACAATGGTCTTTTAGATTCCTCTATACAAGGCAATATCCTCTCAACATCTTTCTGTTAAGCCCCACAAAATCTTACATGCTTCCTCATTCTTCAAACTTCAATGAGCATGGCCAAACCAGCTGAAACCTTTTTCATAAAGCTAATGCCTACATCTTATGTTTCAGCCTAGTGAACCTTCTTCGATTTGCTTCCAATCCAACTATATCCCTTCATAAGTAAGGAGACAAAAATTGTATGGAGCACTTCAAGTGCGGTCTCACCAATGACCTCTACAATGCTATCAAAACTTAAATGCTTCATACTCCATCCCTCTCACCCTTTCTTTACACATGCATAGTACTTGACACTGGTCTGGCTTCCTGAGAGCCAGCTCTCAGAGTGAACAGAACCTCTGACACACCTGTTTATATCTGTCAGCCAGGGCTCCCTGATTGGACCAGGTTAACAGCCCCAGTTGGGGAACTCATATTCTAAGAGGTCCACCTGGCTGACCTCGTTACAATCACTACACCTCTTGCAATAAAAAAACATTCCTTACGCCTGCCTAATTATTTGCTGTACCTCCATGTTAACGTTTTGAGTTCTGTGGAAGGGTCACCAGACCTGAAATGTTAACTCTGTTTTTTCCTTCACAGATGCTGCCAGTCCTGCTGAGCTTTTCCAACAGCTTTGTTTTTATTACATCCTTTCTGCAGTCTCTCCATATAAATATACTAAATAATGAATACAAATAATTTGATTTTTCCTACCAAAGAGGACAACCTCTTATTTTTCCCATATCTTTTACTCCATAGGCAAAATTTTATCTACTCACTCAATCTAACTACAAGCCTTTGTAGATTATTTGTATCCTCCTCCTGACAAACTGTCCCAAACACACCCTATACCCAACTTCAATACTAGCTTTGCTACTTTGATTGCGCTAACTTATATGATCATTTAGTATTCTTCCAGCAACTTTCATATAAACGCTCACTATTTCTCGATTTATACTTTGTCTTACAGTATTACTACTGTTAGGAGGGCAATAAAACTACTCACCAGTGACTTCGTTCCTTTGTTATTTCTTATCCCCACCCAAACTAATTCAACATCGTCATCTTCTGAGCCAATATTATTTCTTACACCTTTGCCAACAGATCTATCCGATTTCCTTTACCTTCCTTCCTGTCCTTCAGAAATTTCTCTTGAATATGCAAATCTCAGCTTTGACCACTTGTAACCATGTCTCTGAAGTGGCTATAATTTTGTTATTTAGTTAAAATTGTACCATCAATTCCTCCAGTTATATTTGCTCCACCCACTCAGGTAAAGAGCCTTTAATTTTATATTTTTACCATTTTTCTCTACATCAGCAAATAAGGTTAGAGTGTTAAAAACAAAAGAATTGCGGATGCTGTAAATCAGGAACAAAAACAAAGTTGCTGGAAAAGCTCAGCAGGTCTGGCAGCATCTGTGGGTTAGAGTGTTGTTTGTCATATTCTGCGCCCTTCCTATCACACCGTGGTTATGGCAATCATATTGCTGTTGCATTGTCCTAACTCTAACTGTCCAAATCTCTCCTCATAACAGCATCTTTTGCACAGTGAACAGTCATACAGCACAGGACAGGTCTTTCCGTCCATCAAGTCTGTACCGATCTATCCACACTAATTCCACTTTCCAGCACTTCACAAAAGCCTTGAATGTTATGACATTTCCAGTGTCCAAACATATTGTTAAAATGGGGTTTCCCATCTCTACTACATTCGCAGACAGTGCATTCTAGACCACTACCACTCTCTAGGTTAAAAATATTCCCTCAAATCCCCTGTAAAATCCCTGGTCCTTCACCTTAAAATTATGCCCCACATTAGCCACTCTTCAATTATGAACAGCTGCTTTCTATCCACCCTGTCCATGCCTCTCATAATGTTATACACCTCAATCAGATCCCCTCTTAGTCTTCTCTACTCTACAGAGAACAACCCAAGCTATTCAGCCTCTCTTCCTAGGTCTAATGCTGCAACCCAGGCAACATCCTGCTGAATCTTCTGTGCACCCTCTCCAATGCAATCACATCCTTCCTATTATGTGGCATCCAGAGTTACATACACTACTCCCGCTGTGGCCTAACCAAAACTTTGTACAGTTCCAATTCCCTGCTCTTATTATCTGTGCCACAACTGATTTAGGCAAATACCCCATATGCCTTCGTAAATATCCTATTAACCTGTCCTGCCTCCTTCAGATATCTGTGGACGAGCCCCAAGATCCTTCTGTTCCTCTGAATATCCTAGTGTCCTGCCATTCACTGAGTACTCCCTTGTCTTGTTACTGCTTCCAATAAGTAATACCTCAGAGTTAAAATTCCATTTGCCACTGATCTGGGCACATGACCAACCTATCAATATCTTCCCGTAACCTAAGACCTTCTTCCTCAGTGTTAACCACACGGCCAATCTCCATGTCATCTCCAATAATTCCCCCCCCAACTCCCATACTCTCATCTGTACCATTTATACATGTATACCACGAACAGTAAGGGACTCAAAACTGATTTCTGTGGTGCCCGACTTGACACTGGCCTTCAGTCACCCAGCCTTCTGTAATCAATGTCTGTCTCCTATTACTAAGCCAATTTTGGATCCAATTTGCCAAAGTACCCTGGATCTCTTCTTATATCAGTCTCTGACATGGGACGCCGTTAAAGGCTTTGTTGAAATCCATATAAACTACATTAACTGCATGACCCTTAACTGCACATCTGACCACCTGCTTGAAAAATATCAAATTTGTTTGGCATGACCTCCATCTGACAAAGCCATGCTAACTATCCTGAATCAAACACTGCCACTCCAAGTGGTGATTAATTCTCTCCTTCAGAATCTTCTCCAACCGCTGATGTTAGACTCACTGGTTTGCAATTCCTGGTTTATCCCAGTCACCCTTCTTGAAAAGTGGGACCATATTGCTGTCCTGTAGTCCTCTGGCACCTCCCCTGTGACCAGAGAAGAATTAAAATTTGGGTCAAAGCCCATGTAATTTCATCCCTCACCTCCCATACTAGCCTGGGACACAATTCATCTGGACCTGGAGGTTTGTCCACTTTTAAGCTTGCCAAATCCTCTGACACCACCTTACTCCTTATGTCAATCTGTTTAAGAGCCTCACAGTCCCCCTCCTCAATTTCTGACCCTGCATCCTCCTCCTCCCAAATGAATGCAGAAGTGATGTACTCATTTAACATCCTATCAATGTCCTTTGGCTCCACACACATACTGCTCCCTTTGTCTCTACTGCCTAGATCCCTGAATTTTTGATGTAAAACCTCATCCCTTATTCTACCTATACAATTCATACCAATGTGTACTGGGACTTCTGACTTATCATCCCCTACCTTTCAGATGCCCTGTAATCGTCAGTGACATCGCTAACTGTGACTCCTGGGAGCAAATACACATTCCAGGATATTGACACAGTGACACTGAAGGAATGGTGGTATATTTCCCAGTCAGCATAGTGAGTGCTCGGAGGGCAACTTGCAGATGGCAGTGGTCCCATGTATCTGCTGCCTTTGTCCTTCCAGATGTAATGGCCGTGGGTGTGGAAGGTGGTCTCCAAGGAGCCTTGGTGAATTTCTGCGGTACATCATATAGAGGTTACACACTGCTGCTACCGAACATCAGGGGTAGTGGGATTGAATGTTTCTGGGTGTGGTGCAAATCAAGTGGGTTGCTTTGTTCTGGATGGTATCAAGCTTTTTCAGTGTTTGTTGGAGCTGTACTCAACTAGGCAAGTGGGGAGTATTTCATCACACACCTGACTTGTGCTTTGTAGATGAAAGACAGGCTTTCAAGAGTCGGGAGATGAGTCGCTGTCTGATTTGCTCACGTAGCCACAGTACTTATGTTATTCCAGTTCAGATTCCGGTCAATGGTAACTGCCAGGATGCTGATAGTGGATGGTACAATGCCGGTGATGCCATTGAACGTCAAGGTGCGAAGGTTAGATTTTCACTTGTTGGAGATGATCATTGTTCGGTTCTTGTGTGGCTCAAATGTTACTTGCTATTTTCCACCCCAAATGTGGATACTTGCTGCATTTGAACAAGTACTGCTTCAATATCGAAGAAGATAGTGTTGCACATTGCGTAATCATCAGCGAACATCCCCACTTCTGATCTTACAACAGAAGAAAGGTCGTTGATAAAGCAGCTAAAGTTGATTAGTTCTAGGACACTACCCTGAGAAACCCCTGCAGTGATGTCCTGGAGTTGAGATGATTGACCTCCAACAACCACAACCATCTTCTTACGTGCCAGGCATGACTCCAACCAGCGAAGAATTTTCCCCTTGATTCCCATTCACTCAAATTTCGCTAGAGCTCCTTGATGCCACACTTAGTGAAACACAACCTTGATGTCAAGGGCAATCACTCTCACCTCACCCCTGGAAGTCAGCTCTTTTGTCCATGCTTGAACGAAGGCTGTATCCAGATTAGGAGTGACCCTTGAATTGGCTGATGACTGGCATCTGTGATGTTGGGGATCTCTGGAGGAGGCGAAGATATATCTCTTATTCGGCATATTTGGATGAGGATTGTTACAAATGTTTCAGCCCCATCTTTTGCAATGATGCGCTCGGCTTCCCCATAATTAAGGTGGTGGACTGTTACAAACCTTCTTCCTCTTATTGGTTTAACTATTCAACATCATTCATGACTAGATATGGCAAGTCTGTAGAGTTAGATCTGATTTGTTGCTCATGGAATTGCTTAGCCTTGTCTATCACTTGCTGCTTATGTTATTTGTCATGCAAGTAGTCTTGGTTCTAAGCTTCACCAGTATAGATATGCCTCATGTTGCTCCGGGCATGCTCTCCTACAGTCTTAATTGAATTAGAGTTGTCTCTGGCTGTTGAATAAAGTGTGGAATATGAATGGGCCCAAGATTGCAGATTATGTTGGAGCATGATTCTGTTGCTGCTCCTGATGGCTCACAGCACCTCATGTATGCCCAGTCTGGAGTTGCTAGATCTGTTTGAAGTCTATGCCATTTAGCCGTGCATCGTGTTGTGTAACACTATCAAGGTATCCTCAATATAGCGCACAAAGACTGTGCGCTGGTCATTTTTACCAATACTGTCATGGACAGACGCATCTGCAACAGGCAGAGGATGAGGTCAAATTTGTTTCTCCTTCTTGTTAGTTCTCTTACCAACTGCTGCTGATCTAGTCTAGCAGTTATGTCTGGAGTCAATTTTGAGAAATTCCAGGGAAAATCCCTCCAGAATTTATTCCACTGCACCGCCAGCTCTGTTCGGTTTGTCAGGGATGGTGGTGCTGGTGGTGCTGGTGCTGTCTGGGACAATGCATGGAAGTTGCTCAACTGACTTGTGAGAAAACTCTGAGGCCGCAGTAGATGCGGCTCCGGATGGTGACTGGAGGCAGTGGTGGCAGCGGTAGCAGGGATGTCCACCTGGCATTCAGGATTGGTGGTGGCAAAGCTCCTCCATCAATCGGAGGTGGTGGTGGTAGTGGACCTTTCAAGATGGCGTGCAAGCAAGGAGACATCTCAGAGGTGAGCAGCTGGAGGGGGACTCGTGGCATTGGTGAGGCAGCGGTTGCAGAATCGTATGCCTAGAGCCAGGACTCCTGGTTGCGGGGCGAGTATGGGTTCAGCACGGAACCTGACATCGCCATTGGTGAGGTAGGCCCAATGACGAAGAGATGGTGCCTAAAGATTGGCGACTCCTAGGTGGGAGCAGTGAGGCGGTGGAGGAGGGGTGGTGGTTGGTAAGCCAGCTCAGGACTCTCTTTCAGTTATATCTTTTATTCTTAAACTATTCAAAGTGGCACCAGATTGTGGCAACTGTTGAAGCTTTTCACTGTATTATTCATTGTAAAATGCAAGTAACAATAAATCATTCATTCATTAATTCAATTTTGGCACTGTCTTCCACGTGTTATCAAGGAGGGCCTTGCAGGGTTTAAAGGGCTGAGTATGCCATGGCCGTTACTGGTGCTTTTGGTGATGCCAGATGCTGTGTCTGGTTTCATTCCCCTTTTGAGTCTTTTTAGGGGCCAATACATTCAAGTGTCCTGCTAGGCTATTTCAGACAGCAGTTAAGAGTTAACCACACTGCTATTGTTCTGGAGTCACAAAAGGACACAGGGTGAATCAAATATATTTTTACAACAATCGACAACGGCTTTATGGTCAACATTAGACTTATAATTTCTGATTTTAACTGAATTCAAATTTCACCATCTGCTGTGATAGGATTCAAACCTGGGTCACTAGCACATTAACTGGATCCAGCGGAAATACTACAATGCCACTGCCATCGTGCATTACCAAGGGGAGTTATTCTGCAGACACATCCATGTTGCATAGTCATGTCATACATGTCACTAGAAAGTGGGGTATCTGCAGTAAATCTTCTAAGTGATCTCGACATAACTAGTTAAGTCAAAAAATTAAAACTACACACCACAAGTTGAATCCAAATGGAGGCAGTGGTGTAGTGGTAATGTTACTGGACTACTAATGCAAAAGCCAATAAATATGCTGGGAGCTAGTAAAATTTAAATTCAATTGATAAAATCTGGAATTAAAAGCTAGTCTCAGTCATGGTAACTCTGAAACGACTTTCGATTGTGAACAAGATGGGATTTTGTAACAAATGTTCTTTAGCGAAGGAAATCTTACCTACACATGACTCTAGCACATCTGCGAAGTGACTGACTCTGAAGTGACCTTTGAACTAGAGTCATACAGCAAGGAAACAAGTCCTTTGGCCCAACTCATCCATGCCAACCAAGTTTCCTAAACTGAACTATTCCCATTTGCCTCCATTTGGCCCATATCCCTTTAAACCTTTCCTATCTACGTACCTGTCCAAATGTCTTTTAAATGTTGTAACTGTACCCATCTCAACCATTTCCTCTGGCAGCTTGTTCCATATATGCACCATCCTCTGTGTGAAAAAGTTGCCCCTCGGGTCCCTTTTAAATCTTTTCCCTCTCACTTTAAACCCATGCTCTCTAGTTTGGACTCCCCTACTCTGTGGAAAAGATCTTAGTTATTCACCTTATCAAAGCTCCTCATGATTTTATAAACCTCTATAAGGACATCCCTCAACCTCCTAGATTCCAGGGAAAAAAGTCCTAGCTTATCTAACATCTCCTTATAACTCAAACCTTCCAGTCTAGGTAACATCCTTGTTGATCTTTTTTACACTCTTTCCAGTTTAATAACATCCTTCCTTTAGCAGAACGACCAGAATTGTACACAATACTCCAATGTGGCCATACCAATGTCTTGTACAGCTGTAATATGACATTCCAACTCCTATTCTCAATACTCTGACCAGTGAAGGCAAGGGTGCCAAACACCTTCCTCACCACCCTGTGTACTTGCAACGCTACTTTCAAGGAACTACGAACCTGCACCCCTAAGTCCCTCTGTTCAACAACACTCCCCAGGGCCCTATCATTAACTGTCTAAGTCCTACCCTGGTTTGTCTCACCAAAATGCCACACCTCACATTTACCTGAATTAAACTCCATCTGCTATTTCTTGGCCCACTGGACCCGTTGATCAAGATTCCGTTGTACTCTTAGATGACCTTCTTCACTGTTCACTTTATCACTAATTTTAGTGTCATCTGCAAACTTACTAACCATGCCTCCTATATTCTGATCCAAATCATTTATAAATATAAATCATTTATAGAAATGGACTAGCAAGCCATTCAGCTGAAGGGCAATATGATAAGTAACAAGTGCTGATATGCTCACATCCCACAAACGATAAAGATGTTGCCTCAGAAAGAAAAGGCTAATAATAGTCAATACATATTTTTGTAACTGGAAAGCTTTTTCCAGTGAGGTTCCACAGTGCTGTATACCAGAACCTCTTTGTTTTCATCAATAATTTAGACTTAGATCAAAGTGACATGAGTTTGCCACGACTGCAGACGATATTAAAGTTGATGTGTTCATATAATTTCCTTCGGAAACAACGCTAAACACAAAATTACGAAGGATCTCAGCGAAGGACCATGTGTGTCACTTTTGGTTTCAAACACCGTTGCAGGGATAAAGCTCTCCTGATATCCCTCTTTGCTTCCCAGGAAGGAACACCTAACCTACAGTAAAGGTTGGGTACTCAGTTAGCAAAAGATTTCAGCATACAACTCAAATACTCGGACTCCTATTCAATACATCCCACGATTACAGCTGGAAATAGCTCAAACTTTATTGAGTTTAATATTAATATGGAAGATCAAGCCAAGTTCAACAATAAGATGGCCATTACCTCTCCTATGTCTCCCTGTACAACTCGAATAGGGTCAACGAGAATGTCACGAGCCAGCCTCTCAATCTTCTTCCGGAAGGTGGCACTGAACAACAGAGCTGTAAAACAATCCAACTTTAAGAGTATGTTGGTAACACATCTATGAAATTACACAGCCTGGCTGTGAAATCTACTGCCAGCCAATCATTGAAACATCAATTTCATATGTTTTAATCTCAAGTATAGAATGTTTAGATTATGAGGGGCCAGAAAAGTAAGATTCTGAAGTTCTGAGAGGAGGTGACTTAAGTGGTAAGCATGGCTAAACGGAATAAAAATGAATGGATTCTAAGGACTGCTTAAGTACAATCATGATTGTAAACCCCAAACATGGGTGGAAGGTAACTTCAGGATGTGCAGAGTAGTCAGTCCATAAAATTGTATCATGATGGTGTAACTCACCTCCCTACTCCCAAAAGCCTGTCCATCACCTACAAGGTACAAGTCAAGAGTGTGACAGAATACTCCCCATTTGCCTCTTTGGGTGCAGCTTCAAAAAAACTCAAGAAGCTTAATACCATCCAGGATGAAGCAGCCTACTTGATTGGCACCACATCCACAAGCATCCACTCCCTCTACTAATGTTCAGTAGCAGCAGTATGCAACCTCTACAAGATGAACTGCAGAAATTCAGCAAGGTTCCTTTGGCTGCACCTACAAAATCCTTACCACCGAAAAAGGCAAGGTCAGTAGACACATAGGAACATCACGACTTGCAAATTCCCCTCCAAACCACTCACTTTCACGATCTGGAAACATATTGTCGCTCTTTCAGTGTCACTGGGTCAAAGTCCTGGAACTCCCCCCGCTAATGGTTTTTCTAATCCAAATGAACTGCAGCTGTTCAAGAAGGTAGCTCATCACCATCTTCTCAAGGGCAACTAGAGATGAGCAATAAACGCTGGCTCAGTCAGGGATACCCATACCCCATAAATGAAAAAAAAAGTCTCAGCCCTGAAATCCTGCAGCGTCTTTTTAAAATTTATTCTCAGCAGGCAGGCATTGTTGTTAAAGTCAGCACTTATTACCCATAACTTCGGAGTCCCAAAAAAGGTGTCACTGGGCCTCCTTCTTGAATCATGGTATGAACAAACAGTGAATCTGATCAGGTCACTTCAGAAAGCAGCGAAGAGTCATCCATTTGGATGTAGGACTGCAGTCATTTCGTGACAGGCGAGTTCAGTTTTATTTTCTGCTTTTCTTAAGTTATAGTTAATTAGACACTTCCCTGTTCACAATAAGGAGTAAGGAATGAATCTAACAAATAAAACTGGTAATTGCTGTACTCTTTCAAGTTGGACGAAGATGGCTACCTTTCTGATCGAAATAGAGTAAACAGAGGTTTATTACATTACTGCAAACATTTTCAGATTACATGAATATGACCTATGTTACTCCTACCAGCTCACCTTCTGTCAACACTAATACAACACTATACAACAATAATGGAATCGCTAAATCCAAGCAATTCATGAGTTCAAAAAAAGCCCAGACAAGCTGCAGGAAACCCCTAGCACCAGAGGGTTCTGGGAATCATTGATCCAAAATCACTTGATTTTCCCTAGTATTCTATACTTAGTATGTGTCATTTCTCAAATTATACGTAGTCCTAAATGTTACTTTTTTCCTGGAAGAAGTCTAGTCTGTATCTAAATGAATCATCCTAACTGGTTCCACCATCTCCTAATGTGTTTCAACTAGCTTCTAAGGATTAGTTTTGAGTTTACACCCTTCGTTATAAAACGATTCAAAGGATTTCAGGCTATTGAATGAATAATAGCTCAAATTTCTCAGTACAATCACTGCTGTAAATGGTAAATTTTAGTTGAGCTCACACTGGTAACACAACAAAGAATACAATAAAACATTAACACTTACTCTGTCTGTCTGGACGGACATGATTTGCTAATGATCGGACCTGATACTCTGCAAAAGATAAAAAATTTATCATTAGATATTACATCATAAAAAGTATTCATCTTGATGTTATTATCTGTTGAGGTAACATTGTGTGTGTATGGCATCTAGAACATAGAACAGTATAGCACAGGAACAAGTTCTTCAGTCCACCGTGACTGTGCCGACCACTGGGTCATTCTAAAATAATCCTATCTACCTGCACACGGTCTGTATCCCTCTATTCATTACCTGTTCACAGGTATGACTAAGTTAAACTAAAACCACTTTCCCAGGCACCCTACCACCCTCTGCAATAAAAAACTTGCCTCGCACATCTCCTTTAAACATTTCCCCCCCTCTCACCTTAAACCTACACCCCGTCGTATTTAACATTTCCACCCTGGGAAAAAAATCTGACTGTCAACCCCTAACTATGGCCCTCATAATTTTATATATTTCTATCAGGTCACCCTTCAGCCTCCAACGCTCTAGCAAAAACAATCCAAGTTTGTCCAACCCCTCTCCTTATAGCTAGTCACTCCAATCCAGGCAACATCCTGATAAACCTCTTTTGCATGCTCTCCAATGCCTCCATATCATTCCTATAGCGTGCTGATCAGAACAGCACACAATAATCCAAATGTGGCTCACTAAAGTTTTATTCAACTGCACTATGATTTGCCAACTCTCATACTCAATGCCTCAACTGATGAAGGCAAGCATGCTGTAGCCGTCCTTACCACCTTATCAGTTATGTTGTCATTTTCAGGGAGCCACAGACTTGCACCCCAAAATCCCACTGTATATCAATGCTCCCAAGGGTTCCCTCATTTACTGTACACTTTCCTCTTGCATTTGACCTCTCTAGATGCATCATCTCACAGTAGTTTGGATTAAATTCCATCCTCACTTTCCATGACTTAACAAATTTTCATATCGTCTGCAAAGTTACTAATCAGACCACCGACATTTTCATTCAAAACATTTGTATGTATTGTAAACAATGCTGATCCCAGCACTAATCTTTGCAGAACACCACTGGTCACAGATCTCCAGTCAGAAAAACACCTCTCCACAACTACCCACTGTCTTCTATGGCCAAGTCAATTTTGCATCCAACTTGCAAACTCACGGATCCCATGTGACCTAATCTTCTGGACCAGCCTACCATGAGGGACTTCGTCAAATGATTTAGTAACGTCCATGGAGACATCCACTGCTTTACCTTCTTTAATTAAAGCATCTAAATTCGTAATTTTAATGTTGTAAGTAAATGTATGCTGGACCGAACATGTATAGCTGAAGTACTTGTGTGTGCCTCTGACAGCGATGGTAGGAGAAGCAGCAGCAATTTGTGAAGATGCCTTTAAAGCAGGATTGTACAACATAAAAGAAGCCCATTCAGCCCATCATTCCTGGTTCATTGAAAAATTCATTCAAATATGTGCAAAAGTGTAGTGGCATAAAATTACAAAATATCATATTCATTAAAATGTAAGGATCCAAGAGACCACCATGTTAAATTCACCAAATCAACTAAAAATAATTTTTTTTTTTACTTTTTACACATTTTAATCTCTTACCAAAGCCCATGTCAAACATTCTGTCAGCTTCATCGAACACCAAATAGGTCACTCTCTGGAGATTGGTAGCTTTCTTTTTCACATGGTCTATTAATCGGCCCTAGGGGAAACAACAACAAAGTAAGAAGGAGCAACCAGAATGTAACGTCAAACAATTTGTTTTGTGGTTCATATGGACACCAAGTTCACTGTTCAAATTTTGCATCAATTTCTATTTCTTGAATATTAATATGATTGGAATTTCAAAAGATATTTTATAATCAATTGTACACTACTGTTTTTCAAACATCATATTTTTAAAAGTCTTGTGTACATTCTGATAACCCCAATAAGAAATATTTGACAGCCATTGCAAAATTGATGAAAAATGGTAAAAATAATTCTCAATCCAGCACTGAAGGGCAGAGGTAGCTTAAACAAGTAGTGATAGTGTCAGCAATGGCTCAGTTGGGAGTACTCTTGCCTTTGAGCAGAGGTCGTTAGTTCAAGTCAGGTCTTCAGCACAAAAATCAAGGCCAACACTTCAAGGTTGTCATGAGGGGGTGTTGCTCTGTCGGAGTTGCCATCTTTTGATTGAGACATTAAATCGCAGTCTCATTTTCCCTCTTAAATGGATGTAAAAGATTTCACGGTACTATTCAGAAGAACAACAGGAGTTATCCCTAGACTCTGGCCAATATCTATTCTTTAATCATTATCACAAAAAGTGATTGTTGTTCTTGGAGCTTGTTATGTGAAAATTGACTCCCTTGCTCCTTATATTACAATAATTATAGTTCAAAAACACGTAAATTATCAAGTCACTTCGGAAACGACCTATGCTTGTGAAAAGTGTCTGTATATGCTCGTATTTATTTTTCTTCTTAGTGAATTCTGAAAAATGTATAATTTAAAAATCTAGATTTTAAGGCTAACTTTACAGATGGTCTAATCAGCTGATCTTCAATGTTAACACTTGGTTTCTTTTTTAACTCATTCACAGTAGGTGTCAGTAGCCAGGCCACCATTTATTGCCCATCAGGCAGTGAAGAGTCAACCACATTGCTGTGGGTCAGGATTCACATACAGGCACACTGGGTAAGGACATTAGCGACCCAGATGGACTTTTATAACTGCTGACAGTGAATTTAAAAAATGCTTTTAATTCCAGATTTTAATTTCCAAATTTCACCATTTGATTCTAGATTCTGGGTTTCTAGATTACAAGCCCAGTGACATCTTCACTATGTCACTGCCTCCCAAAATCTATTAGACATTTCAATTTATAGACACTGTACTGTACAGCTTCACTATTTTTGACAGCAGCAGCAATTTTGTTATTTACTTCTTTGATCTAGTACTCTGGAAGACATTTGGTTACTCAATCTCTTCAGGTTTTCCACCTTTTATACTAACCGGTGTGCAAACGACGATCTCTGCCCCTTCTTGAAGAGCCTTTGCTTGTTCCCACATGCTGCCTCCACCATAGACAGCCACTGACCTCAGGTTGTAGGCTTTTCCAAACTTGCGACATTCAGAATGGATCTGTATATTTCATGAAGTGAGCTAATTTAGTTTTGATCATACAGGGAGACTTGTAGTCACATCACGCAAAGTGTATTTTACTACAAGAACCTAAACTGGGGGTAGCTGTGACAGTAATTGCTGAGTTTATATTATGAAGTGCGAAAGTATGAAATCTGACCTTCTGTTGACAAGTACATGAAAAGCCTAACAAGCCAAGGTGGAAGACTTCAATGTTCGGACCAATCCGAATTCAGTACAGTAGACAATGAAAGTAACAGCAGATTAAGCCACTAATTAAATCAGTATCAACATAATTTCTTTAATTACAATTATGACGTGGAGCAGTGCAAATGATTACTCCCACTAAAGCAAACTAGAGTTAAGGCTTTGGTGGCTCAATCTGTCAATGTGCAGCTGTAAAAATTCTGCTTTTTTATTTTTCTGCGTTTTTGTTTGTGGGCTGAAATGGGGAAAAAAAGACTTTTAAAAACCAAGGATAGTTGAAGGTTTTGAAAGCAAGAAATTTGACACACATTATAAGCATTGTTTACACAGGTGCTGGTTCAAGAAGTAGTAGGTGAAGGTGCAGATGAGCTGGAGTCAAAGATGAGTATGAATAGAGATTCAAACGACAACATGATTGATTACTGCTTAGTAGTCCACAGACTAATGATAAAGGCCCTCTGCTTGTCAACAAATGTAAGACTGGTTCTCAGTAGCTGAACAGCTTGGGGCTTTTAACAGGCAAGTGAGAAGCCACCAGATCTCCACCAGCTCAGGAGCTCTCCCTATTCGCTAAGTAAAAGCTACTTTAAGTCTGAAGTGGACCTGTTTATTTTGCCTTGCGCAGTTGCTGTAAAGCTGCGCTTTTAATTAATTAACTCAGAGACCTTTGTAAGTGTGAACCAGTCACCATGTACCTCCTGCAAACAGAAAACATTTGGAGAAGGACGTCCAAGAAGCAGCCTTCTGATCAGCTCAAGAACCATCTCAACATATCCCGTGAACAGGAACTACTGAAGTGCTTTCCTAATACTTCCCTCTGGCCAGAATATCCATGTTTTTTCCCTGTCTGTAAGGGGCAGTTTATAAGGGGTTAGAATTTTAACTAGTAAGAGTTTTAAAAAAATCTTATGTCTACAGAGTCAGTTTGGGTTGAGGTTCAGGAACAAGAAAGGAGCAGTCACTTTGTTGGGGTTTTTTTTACAGACCCCCTAATAGTTGCAGAGAAGTAGAGGAGCGGATTGGGAGCCAGATACTGGAAATGTGCAGAAGTCACAGCGTTGTAGTCATGAGTGACTCCAACTTTCCAAATATTGATTGGAAACATTTTAGTTGTAATAGTTTAGATGGAGCAGATTTTGTCCAGTGCGTTCAGGAAGGATTCCTGACACAGTATGTAGATAGACCAACACGAGGAGAGACCATTTTGGATTTAGTGCTTGGCCACGAACCGGGCCAAATGTTAGACCTGTTGGTAGGAGAGCATTTTGGCTGTAGCCAGCGTAACTCTGTTTCTTTCACGATAGTCACGGATAAGGATAGGTACATACGGCAGGGTAAAATTTACAACTGGGGGAAGGATAATTACAATTCAGTTAGGCAAGAACTGGGTAACATAAATTGGGAACAGATGTTGTCAGGGAACAGCACCACAGAAATATGGAGATTGTTTAAGGAATGCATACTGCATGTGCTCGATATGTTTGTCCCTAGCAGGCAGAGAAGATGTGGTCGAGTGAGGGAGCCATGGTTCTCGAAAGAGGTCGAACGACTGGTTAAGAGGAAGAAGGAGGCTTATGTAAGGTTTAGGAAACGAGGAACAGAAAAGGCTCTGGAGGGATACAAGTTAGCCAGGAAGGAGCTGAAGAAGGAGTTTAGGAGAGCTATAAGGGGGCATGAGAAAACCTTGGCGGACAGGATCAAGGAAAACTCCAAGGCTTTTTACACGTATGTGCAGAACAGGAGAATGACCAGAGAAAGGGTAGGGCCGATCAAGGATTGTAAAGGGAATCTGTGCACGGAGCCTAAAGAGATAGGAGAGGTCCTTAAAGAATACTTTTCTGCGGTATTCACAACTGAGAGGGACCTAGTTGTAGAGGAGGACGTTGTGAAACAGGCAGGTAGGCTAGAGGAGGTTGATGTTAATAAAGAAGATGTGCTAGGAGTTCTGAGGAAGTTGAAGATAGATAGGTCCCCCGGGATTTATCCAAGGATTCTATGGGAAGCGAGGGATGAGATTGCAGGGCCTTTGGCGATGATATTTTTGTCCACACTGTCCACGGGTATAGTGCCGGAGGATTGGAAAGAGGCAAACGTCATTCCCTTGTTCAAAAAAGGGAACAGGAATAACCCGGAAATTACAGGCCAGTTAGTCTTGCGTCAGTGGTGGGCAAATTATTGGAAAGGGCTCTGACAGACAGGATTTATGATCACTTGGAAAGGCACAATTTGATTCGTGATAGTCAGCATAGATTTGTGAGGGGTAGATCATGCCTCACAAACCTTATTGAATTCTTTGAAGAGGTGACCAAACACGTGGATGAAGGTGGAGCAGTGGATGTGGTATACATGGATTTAAGTAAGGCGTTTAATAAGGTTCCCCATGGTAGGCTCATGCAGAAGGTAAGGAGGCATGGGATACGGGGTAATGTGGCAGACTGGATTCAGAATTGGCTGACCCTTAGAAGACAAAGGGTGGTAGTGGGCGGAAAATATTCAACCTGGTGCTCAGTTACGAGTGGTGTACCACAAGGATCTGTTCTGGGTCCTCTTCTATTTGTGATTTTTGTAAATGATTTGGATGAAGGAGTGGAAGGGTGGATTAGCAAGTTCGCGGACGGTACGAAGGTGGGTCACGTTGTGGACAGTGCGGAGGGCTGTTCTAGGTTACAAAGGGACGTTGATAGAATGCAGAGCTGGGCTGAGAAGTGGCAGATGGAGTTTAACCCTGAAAAGTGTGAGGTGCTTCATTTTGGAAGGACAAACTTGAAAGCAGAATACAGGGTTAACGGAAAGATTCTTGGCAGTGTGGAGGAGCAGAGGGATCTTGGGGTTTATGTTCACAGTTCCCTGAGAGCTGCCACCCAGGTGGATAGAGTTGTTAAGAAGGCGTATGGTGTGTTAGCTTTCATTAATAGAGGGATTGAGTTCAAGAGCCGTGAAGTTATGCTCCAGCTATATAAAAGCCTGGTTCGGCCACATCTGGAGTATTGTGTCCAGTTCTGGTCACCTCATTACAGGAAAGATGTGGAAACGTTAGAAAAGGTGCAGAGGAGACTTACCAGGATGTTGCCTGGAATGGAGGGAAGGTCTTACGAGGAAAGGTTGAGAGAGCTAGGGCTTTTCTCTTTAGAACGACGAAGGATGAGAGGTGACTTGATAGAGGTGTACAAAATGATCAGAGGTATAGATAGAGTAGACAGCCAGAGACTTTTTCCTAGGGTGGAGGTAGCTTTTACGAGGTGACATAGTTTTAAAGTGAAAGGAGGTACATATCGGGAAGACGTCAGAGGTAGGTTCTTTACTTAGAGTGGTAGGGGCATGGAATGCATTGCCGGAGAGGGTAGTGGAGTCGGCCTCATTAGGGACATTTAAGCGGCTATTAGAAAGACATATGGATGATAGTATAAGGGAGCGGTGGAGGTTAGATAGACCTTAGGTTTAGGGTAAAAGTTCGGCACAACATCGTGGGCCGAAGGGCCTGTACTGTGCTGTTCTATGTTCTACGTTCTATGAGTTATATACTGACAGTTCATATTCACCTGTAGCTACAGTCTATTCACTTGTAATGAGCAGAAATTTTTGATGAGTTCAAAAACATTGTCTGTGCTTTCTGTCAACTTGGGTCTCAAGATCAGGTAAAAACTGGGGCATTTTGCACACTTCTGAAAGATCTTTAACTTTTGAGATGATTCCAGGAATAGCAGGGGGCTTGAATTCCAGCATCCTAACCAAGGGAGGTGTAACACCGCCCAGGTTTGTGTTGACAGAGATCAGCTTTAACAAAAGCAAATTACAGTATTGTGGGTGCTGGAAACCTGGAACAGGAATATGTAGGATAAACAAAGAGAAAAGGGGTACACTGGAAATACTCAGGAGGTCTGGCAGCATCTGCAGAGAGAGAAACAGAGTGACTGTTTCCGGTATGCAGTGAAAAATCAAATCTAAAATATTCTTCTCCACAGGTACTGCTGTGTATTTCTGGCATTTTCTGTTCCAGGCCAGCTCATACGGAGCTGTTTTTGTTCATTTCATGGGATGAGGATGTTGCTGGCCAGCATTTATTTCCTATCTCTAATTGCCCAGAGGGCAGTTAAGAGTCAATTACATTGCTGTGGATCTGGAGTCACATGTAGGCTAGACCAGGTAAGGGTAGCCGTTTCCTTCCCTAAAAGACATTGGAGCTACCTGGTATCAGAAAAGGTTTCAAGTGGGATTACAATAATTTGCCTCAGTTCTAGACGTTAGAGGACCAGGATATCAGCTATACCCCCTGATTACTTTCTGTGGATTCTGCTATTCATATGGGACCGTGACAGCATCAGCCTCAAACATCTGAGACACATGAGCTGCCAATAAACTAGGCCTATCAGATTTACTGAGAACAAAATGAAACCAAAAGTATTGGAAACACACACAGCAAGTCAGTAAGCATTTGTGTAGAGAACAGATGAAGTAAATAGGCTGGATTCTACTGTGGACGTTGGGGTCTTAATGCTGGGGCCAAACAGGGTCTCAACCTAGTTTACTTGCTAGAAGTGGTCCATTAACACAACCTACCCAGAGATGCTCTTCTAACTGTTTGCCTCCAAGCTCAATGTTCTAATATTATCCTCTTTTTCGAGGTACATTGTATATTTAGTAAAAAGTAACCTTGGTCACAGCTGACAGACCATCAATGTGCATCGGTAAATCTCCAGAGGACAGCTGCATGGCTACGGCCCAACCAAACCAGCAAATCCATGCTGGCCTGCTGTGCAACATACACAGCTTGCCCCGTACTCTGCCAGCATTCTAGCAACAAGGTCCAGCCACGTCAGGGCCCTGACCGTCATCTAGAAAGCACTCTCAAATTGGCATCTGAACCAATCTAATTGGTTACCTGCCATTTGTACGTAGACAGTAGTCACTTCCCCAAGAAATCTCCTTTCTGAAATAAGGCCAGAGGCAGGAAATCAGCATGCCAGCCAGTAGTGAGAAACTGCTGTCATGCCTTCCTCCGATTCTATTGTAAAATCCAGTCCAATGTTTCAGGTTGGGACATTCATCAGAATAATTGTTAACTTGATGGCTTCTTTCACAGATTCTGACTGCTTTTTGGTTTCCAACATTTTCAACGTTTGTTTTAATAGACAGTGATACTTGCCTTATTTCAGGTATTCTTGTTGCAGATTTGAACTGGAGTTTTTTTTTTAAATTAACAGCTCAGCCTTAACATTCAAAGACAAAATTTTACAGGATAAGGAACAATCATTTCTTAACTTGAGAAGCCATTACATCCAAAGCTCTGTTCCTAATTGGTACTGCATTAGCTGCCAGCACTGCAAAGGCAGAAACCAATCGCTTTTGTAGATTAGCATTGTTGATGGTACCTGCTGACAAAGTTCTCTGGTTGGACAAACAATCACACCAATAGGCCCATCCCCAGGCTCCAGCTCCCTCTGGTCCATGATGTGAATCAACATTGGCCAGATAAAGGCTGCAGTTTTACCACTCCCAGTTTTGGCAATTCCGATCATGTCTCTGCCACTCAGCGCAATGGGGACACCCTGTGTTCAAACATACATACATACATAATTAGCACTGTGCAGTTATCCTTTTTCTAACAATCTTACTTTACAGCATTCTAAGAAAGTCAAGGCTTTTGTTATGAATTTTGGTTCTTATAGATGAGGAGATGTGCCAGTCAATCAAACATGCTATTTCAGACATCTAGCGTTAGTATCAAGCATTGTCTAGCATGGGAGAACATAGTGGATATCAGAGCAAAGTTTCCTTTACTCCACAGCAATTTTATAATACAGCTCAATCTTAAAAAAACAGCCCTTACTCCACCATTCCCAATGACACTGCTCAATTTGTTCTAAGTAATGCTGCAGTAGAGACATGTTTAATTCTGAACTCAGACCAACATATATTTCTGGCATTTTCTGTTTGTATTTCAGATTTCCAGTATCCATATCATTTTGCTTTGTCCTCAAGGTAGTCAATTTGAATAAGAATAGATTACATGACTTAAACTAGGAGCAAAGCAATTTTTCAGAACACAACAATGAAATGACTTTACTGTCAATGAAAATCCAAGGGGTGAAAGGGAACCAGATGCTACGTAAGGGATCCATGGGACAATGGAGGAGGTTGCAGCTTGACACTTAAAACAAAAGAAGAGCTTCTATTTTAGGCAAGTGGATTTTAAGGAGACAGAATCAACATCAACACAGTACTGGATGAAGGCAAGTAGGGTGAAGAAGGGAAGTGATGTGGATGTTATTGATGAACAATGAAATCTTAAAAGTCTAATTTTACGAGTAGAGCAGAGATAGAAATGGGCATGAAGTAAGGGAAAATACGTTCACTTAAGGCAAAAGCCAAAGTAAAAAATCAGATAAGGAGGATCAGTCAAAACATTTAAAATTAATTGATATAATTTCAAAGCAAACAAATGGTTAAGAAACAGTTAAATTCCAAAGGTAATGGAGCCACGAATTGTGAAACAGATGGAAGAATTTTGAAGGATGTCTCTGCTTCAACATCGATGTTTAAGGGATTCTTGTTGGGCGAAAGATGCCTCATGTTATAGAAGCCATCTCCTTTCTGCATACATTCCAACAGATGAAATGAAAAAGGGAATGGATTGACCAACAGATTGCTTGCAAAAGAATTCCCATTTCCTTGGGTACTTTGCAACCCAACTTTAGGAAAAAAAATGACTTCTCAGAATTTTACTGTTGCCTAGAGCTGATGAAGCTTCTCAATTAGAGTTGGCTGATGCAAACCAGGAATGGCCCAGAGAGCTACTAATGCCTTTGTCAGGATGAAACATTACTGGACCTGTGCTCTCCTAGTTAGAACTTCACAAGAACTGATTGGCAAATTGAAGTGGAGCTCATTCACTGCTGGCATCAGTCAACCGTAAAAGTATCCAAATGGGAGAGC